AAATAGTGTATTTAACTGCTAATGACAGGTTACTTGATGCGGCAAATTAGGTGTTTGAGATTCTATTTGGTTAATGTCAATATTTTGAACATTGTACTTGAAGTTTGAAAAGCCCAATGGCTTTTAGCTGTTGGGAACTTTTTTTTGGTACTGTTTTAAGTTTACCCAGTTAATTGTACAAAACTGCCGTACGCATATTTGTTACTAAAGTATTTTCCTACAAAAAGATTTTCTTTAAAAATTCGTTCTTAAAAATGTTTAAACGTATAGAATTCACGAAACAGTACGTTGACATCAAACATCTGTATCAAATAGTGATTTTTTGATAAAAATTGATATCTACTACATCCTGTATAAGTGACCGAGTGGATAAAATCGTTTATATAATAATATGTTCAAATACATATTATAACAGATTTTTTCCTTAAATTCGAAGTAAATTACACAATCGATTAATATTTATAACCGAGTTAAATTATTTGAAAGGTTAATGCAATTTTTGCATAGACAAAGGTCAAAGTATGATATACAAGTAAGAAACAAAACGAGAGAAAATAGCAATTACTTTGATAAACGTGGAAATTACTTTCGTTGTGGTAAGTTTTACAATGTATTGGATTGACGTGGTAATTATTTTTGGCTGCGACTGTAAGCCCCACGTGTTAAAGTACTGCTTGTGCCAAAACGTATGCAGTATAAAGCCCTCGAGTAGTTTTGCGTGAATGCTTAGTGTGCGCAAAGGACTTCGAGTGCGAGTGTTCTGTGTTCTCATACGTACCGTGTGCCGGCGCAGTTCTCGTCGCGCCGTATCACTGCGCGCGCGCCTCTTTTTGTGCTTTGTTGATTTTTTAAGGGTGAGAAATTTTTTCATTACATTTTTTTTCTTATTTTGTGTATGAAGTGTATTCGACAATATAAAATTAATCCGTCTCAGTGTTTAGTTTTTGAAAGACATTTTTATTTAAGCTTTTCCTGTTTTAAACCTTTATTTACAAAAACAGATTAAATGTATCAGTTCAAAAGAATACAAAATATTAATCCAAAACATTTTTGATTTTTTTATTGGTATCATATTACATTATCTTAATTACTTGATCACGTAAAATTAACGAGCTTTTACAACTGAAAGATTATGAAAGCTTGCATAAGTAACACCTGGGCTATGTATGTATTTTGTGACGTCACAACTGGAACAAATAAGCAGGTTGTTATGATTCAAGACCTACTCTACTTAAAGGGTTATATTATGTGGACTAATTAACGGGATCGTATTGTGCAATCATCAATTCATTACGATTCCTTTACTAGTTTTTTTATGTTGTAAGTATATTCTGAGTGTACCTATAGATAATGTATTGTTGGAAAATGCGTAAGTTCTGCTTTGATTTGTAGAACACATTATTTCTTAGATCAATGATAAACAATGTAAACTAATTTCTCTGTGTGTGCAATAAAGTATAAAATAAATGAATAAATCGTAACCTTAATAAGCCAACCATCTGGCTATGTTTTCTTGAATCTATGTTTTACTAGGTCTAGAAAGTTTATTAGATTCATTAGGTTTATTAGAATTTTTGTGAGATAAGATCTAAAGGGAGATTTAAAAGGAACTTTCGTTCCTTTTCGATATTTAATATTACATTTTTTTTAATATCCCTAAAAGCTTCGACAGCCATCTCAGGAGGCTGGCGTAAGGTGGATGAATCAAGGGCCTGATACAGAAGGCAGTTCTCATAGAAACGGCACGTTTCGTGGGGAGGTTTCTGTATCTGGAGCCATAACCACCGGTAGCTTGGACCATGCTCCGGCTACTGGTCGTTCCTATTTTTTATATTTTTAAATATTATTTTTTATTTTGTAAGTAGTAAGTATTTAAAAATGTAATTTATAGAGAATTTTAAATAAATGTATGGACAAAGGAAGATTGAAGAGGAACTTGTGTACCTTTTCGGTATGTAATCTTACTAATTTTGTTTTTTTTTTTTTTTTTCAAAGTCGGAGTATGTTTTTATTCAAATATCATAATTTATATAACTACATAAATATTTCTTTAATTATTAGGTACTATGAATTTTAAAACTCCTTTAGTTAAACTACTATTTAAAAACAAACAGTGGCAACTACTGACTATAAAATTACTTAGTGTTATCAATTGATATTTCGTTGCCTAATTGGTTATCAAATTTCGACACATCAATAATATTACTGTTGATAATTACTATAATTATTGTAATCAATGCTTGATAAAGATAATGTTAATTCTTTAAATAGAGGTAATTAAAATGAATGCTAACAGTTTTGTTGTAGAAATTGTTCGTGTAACTATGGTATGTACCCATTCTTGTGACTCTTGATTGTTTATTTATTTATTGGTTCGTACATATAATATATAATCTTGCACATATGCAAACAATTAAGGCCGTGGTCGTTATCTAACCGTTTTTTTAAGTTTGCTTTGATTAGTGTTGGATCTGGATAATACCTATAATATTCTAAGAGATAGTGATTATGTTGCTCTTGGGCTAAAACTAATTTATACCGTCAAGATTAAACCTGCCTGTTTCGTAACATCGCAAAGACATAGTAAAGCAACTCGACCAGTTGAGGTTGCTTAAAATATAATAATCGCTTTTATATATAAAAAAATTGTCTTATACCGTCCGGTTGTCAGTCACAAGAAGAATAAATTCGAAACATTTAAAAAGATTTCTTTTTATAAATATAACTAATAACTATATTCTTATGTCATATCAATTGATAAATAAAAATAAATAATCAAAATCGAATTTTATTAAAAAAAACGTATTTTGGTTTTATATCGTCTGCTTGTCAGTCTCAAGAAGAATAGAATCGCAAGCGCAACATTAAAAAAAATACAAAATTTAAAAATATTTCTTCTCATTCTTATGTCATATCGATAAATAATTACGCTCACCGAACAATTTCGATGTCATCACAAATCCAATGCCGCGACCATTCAATGCATGGTTAAAGTATCACGACACGACTTTTTAATGGCTATTGCTTACCTTGACGAATAAATTCATTACCTACTCAGTAAAAAGTTGTATCTGCTTAACTATTACCATTTTACAAACGTGTTAGAAAACTATAAATATAACTAATAATTATGCAAAGAAAAAACGAAATGAAATAGTTATGTATATCTGTACGTTTTTATGATAAAAGTATTTAATAAAACACCCAGTCTCAAAAGAATTTATGATATTTTTCAAAATTTTTGTGTGTGCATGTGCATAGGACATTGAACTTTACCCTTGAACACCACCAGAAGGTGAAATATTATAAAATCCCATTCTCTTTATTTCGAAACGTTTTGAAATCATCGGTTGTATAATGTATAGTTTAACATTTGAAACGTCACTGGGGCGCTGCGTGCGCGCTGGTGACCTTGATGGCGGCCGGCATAGCGGCAATTCATTCGCACACGTGGGCCTACAGGCTTCCATCCAATGCAGTTCATAATCACTACATTTTACCTTTCTAGTTTGAATTTACCTTTATTATACTTCGTTTAAGGTTTATAATATCATTTTTTCTGTTTACTCTATTGTGACTGAGTTGATTGTGTAGTGTTTAGCGAAATTTTATTTATAAATTATTTCCGGTAACATAAAATAAGAAATATAAGAACTCCGGATGCGAGTAAATAAGGAAAATTGTTTGATTGTCGATAGGGTGTCGTGGTTATTGCCCCTAAGCGTTCACTGACTTTCCAATTTATTTTCTAAGTATTTGTATCAGTTGTGAACTTTGTCATTAACTTTCTTTACCCTTCTATAATATTAACGATTTTCCTCTTTTCAAATGGATTTCAAAGAGACTTGAATTTCTCCTTATTTTTATACATTTCTAATCAATGGCAAGTCGAGTTCAGGTCCAAGCTTCTAAAGTCAGTGTTCTGTTATAGGTAGATTTGTAACTTATATTATTATGTTTTTGTCGCTTTGCGTTTAGTGTAGTATTTGCTTATGTGTGTGGGAGACTATGATGACTCAGTACTAGCGCGGTCGGCGCGCGGCGTTCAGTTATTTAGTAAATAAACACTCGCAGCTCAGAACGCATTATTATGTATTACATAAATGCCATCTGCATTTGCATTTCTTTTGTAATGGAAATTAAATAGGATCGTGTCGAATTTCCAGTTGAAATACAAGTGAGTGAGTTGTTATTGAATACAAATGTTTATGGACCAATGAAAAGATACGTATTTAAATGTATGCTAATAAAAGTACCTTGTTGTTACCCAGTTGTTGACGACTTTTACGATTTTCGTGAAATGTTAATCGGAAAACCTATCCCTGAGAACTATTATGTATTATGATCATTAATAACAAACTTGCATATAGGTACCTACATAATATGTTGCTATTTAGTTACAATATTAAATGGTTTTGTTCCATTATCACAGTAGATAGTTGGCAGGATGTTCCAAGCCTACAATTATGTGAATCACTGTGTACCTACTTCCTATTCATTTCATACATAGTTTCAAACTTGTGTCATGTTTATTTATTTGGTTGCCGCTATCGTTGTATTGACAGGGCACTAATGACTATATTTTTCAACAATAGAATTTTAATAAAACATTTTAATTATTGTGATATATAGATTATTGTTTTTCAAACTTATGAGAAAAGTAGTTGAAGGTTGCATTAAAATTAAGGTTTTTAATAATTTGAAATGTCTTAGTAGGTCCTCAGGGGCGTGAAATAAAGTTCGACACATGAATGACTGTAAAACTATATACATTTGATTAAACTTTCAAATAAATATAAACAAAGTTGCACAATAATACAAAAAAGATAAAACTTGAATATTTCGCGGCACAAATACGGAGTGCGTGCGTCACGGCTTCGGCGCGGGACTCGTTGTTCTGTTGCGTTGCGTACTCGCAAGCGTCGAGCGGTCAGTGGCGGGGATGTGGGGGAAGGGAAATAGCGAGGTGGCGTGTTGCCAGTTGCCACTAGCGTAGCGCGCGTGCGTCCGACACAAGCCAAAATCGAATTGCCGTGTTCCAGGTATTATTTTGATAAAATTTAAAAGCACATACATTCACTGCGTCGCCGTCTCGGTCGTCATTAGGTCGCTTTTTACGTGATTGAAATTTGGAATGCGGAAAATTAATACATGCGGTGATCTAAAGTTCAGAATTTTGGTCGATTTCAAGTTATAAGATCATTCTCAAACAACATTCGCAAACACGGTCACCTATTTTAGAAAAAAACAAGCAGGAACGTGGTCTATGTTATGTACCTACTTATCTAATATGCGCGTCTGCTAACTCTATTGGTATAACCGATGTTATTAGAGTTAACGACATCCTTATATTGACATGAAGTGTAAAGGAAAATAAATCATCGACTAGTTCCAGTTTGACTGCTTTTTTAATTACGTAGGTACCTACGTCTTGATTTATTTTATTTACTTGAGATAATCATGATTACTAATTTATTATGCTTAGCAAAATATTCACCATTTACAAAAAAACCTAATAAAATTTTGAGAATTCGTTTTAGCTAACAATTAAAAAAAAACGTAATCGCTTTATTTTGCAAAACAGCCAAGTTGATTTGACAATTTAACGTGAGTAATGAAAAAAATAAACTAGTTATTACTAGTTTATACGCGTCTAAATCTTCAAATGATAACGCATCGGATAAGTTTAAAAATCCATGTAAACCTTGAAACCATATTTTAATTGTATGCCTTTGTACGCCTACATAGATATTATTTAACTTGTTACTTATTTCCTGTTTCACACTTAGGTAACCACTTGCCTCTTTCTGACCACGTTAGAAAAACTATTGCCACCATTGATCGTGATCGTGACCCGCACTCGCGACCTTGGCTTATGTTATTTTGTTGATCAAGGTCGATACCAAGTTATCTTCCATGGATTTAATATGTACATGTGTATGAATGTTTAATATTTATGTTTTTTAATTGTTTTGATTAACATTTAGGATTCTTAGTCGTAGTTTATATGTAGATATAGTTTACTTGTTAAGAGAGTTTTATAAGTTATTTCGTGTATTTTTCTTGTGATAAAAACAATATTTTTGCGTTTGATTTTTAGTATCAATTCGCTCGTTCGATCGCTCTCTCTATAATTATAATACAGTAAGTCTATAAATACTATCTTTAAGCAACAATATATTGTAGGTAAGCAAAATTGTAAGCAACAAAGTAGCGCGACATCGCCGCGACCGCGCACGCTGCTCATGAGGAAGAACCCCTCTGTGGTTCGAAACTAGTAGAGCTTTTCTCAGTATATTCACGTGAGTGCCCCGCGATTTTTAGTTAATTTAGTATGTCTCACGATAGTTATAATAAAAATACAATAAAGTATTGTAGGATACACCTCATAGATAATTCACATGATTAGAGATAATAGGCATATTTTTTTTACATATCACAATGGTGGCTAAAAGGCACACGGCCTACCTGATGGTAAGCGGTTACCGTGGCCTATGTACCTACATAGTTTTACGGTATACTAGAGTGAATATACATATATTGTAAAATTACGAGTGTTTATATATATAAAACGTCAAGAAAATTATACATTTTGCTTTAAAGCGAATATTAAGTGATTGACAGTCAATTAGATGGTAATACCTGTACTTTATAAGTTACATGATACTTGTAACCGAGGAAATTGTAATTGAACGTCGTCGCTTGTAAGAGTAAAATGAGGGAACGTTAGTTTAGTTTATGTATTAAACTAGTTTTCATATGAATACCTATACAGTGAATTCTGCCGAAGTAAAATGGTTCTGTTTTGGTAATACAACAGATTTACAAAGAAATAAAATTTTTATAACAATAAATTGTTAATTGGTAAACCATTGCAAAAAGCAAAGCTCGAGAGCGCATACGAATTCACAATACATTATCAAAACATCACGCCTTGCAATTCTTAAAGAGGTATTTCTCGTCGGGTGGCACTTGCGATGCGAATAGTGTCTACACATTTACATCTGGTATTTCATATGCGTGTTTCCATGACAATTTTTTACAACATTAACAATTAAAATTAATATAACATTTTTTTATCTCTCAAAGTTCAGTTTATAATATATATACAGATAAATAAAATTGGAGTGTCTGTTTGTGATATTAAAATAACCGCATTTTACTACATACATATGAATATACATTCGATACACATATCAAAATAACATTTTTTGTCTGTCTATCTGTCACTCCATTTTTTGTCTGTACTAGCTAATCTTTGGAATGGTTGGACTGATTTTGCAAGACTTTTATTGGCACTAAGGGGGACCATAGGCTACTTTTATTTTGAAAAATTGAAAAAAGAACGTTATGTTCTTCAATTTAATTCATATTACACGTAAATGAAATTTGCGGGCAACAGCTAGCAGTAATATAAGATTTAAGATATATTTTTATCGAATTAATTAAAACGAAAAATACGCAAAAATGTTATGTTTTGATTTTCGTTAAAATTGGGATGATGACAGGGTATGGAAATTAAAAATCTAATTAGTCCGTAAGTTAGGTAATGAAAAAATATTAGACACGTATTTTTTTATTTTGTCGTATAATTAAACAAAATACTTAGATAAAACGCATCAAAGTTTAGGAGTGGGGGCTAAAACGTAATTTCTACATATAAAATGTAGGTACATAGAAATGACGTCACGCGACATTTCAAATCAATATATCGTCGAAAGAATTCGTTTCTAGAAAAATACATGTCTAATGATTTAAAATAATCTACCAGACGTACATAAAAATAAAAATTAGGCATCTACCCTATTATGGCAAATAAATAAATATAAATAGTCTCGATGAGTGTTATTATTATCTTTCTATATCCTTACTATCAATACATAGTATAAAACAAAGTCGCTTTCGCTGTATGTCCGTATGTATGCTTAGATCTTTAAAACTACGCAACGGATTTTGATGCGGTTTTTTTTAATAGATAGAGTGATTCTTAAGGAAGGTTTGTATGTATAATACATGCATATTGCACCCGTGCGAAGCCGGGGCGGGTCGCTAGTAATATTATAAATCGGACAGTGAGTTTGTTTGTTCCATTTTCACGCCGTAACTACTAAACCGATTGCTTTGAATTTTTGCAGACGTAAAGTAAGAAGTCCGGATTAAATAATAGGGTACTTTTAATCCCGGTAAAAATTGATATTCCCGAGGGAAACCAAAGTATTGGTATAGATGGCGCTGTGTGTATTGGTATATGTCACATAGGCTACTTTTTATCCTTTTGTGACGCGAGTGAAGCCGCGGGTAAAAGCTAGTGTGGTTATAACAGCAAAACATCTTTAGTTCGTTTATTTTACATACAATGAAACCGGTCGCATGCTACCTTCTTCCTCGAAGTTGTTCAGCTGCCTGGTTTGTAGGGACGAAAGGACAAGGGACCCGTTTTCAAGGACAATATTTTTATATTCAAGTTTTACTGTAGGTATAGTATTTACCAATGTCTTGCATTCAAATTAGTACAGCTATAGACGGTGTGAGGTTTTGGATTCAATACTCGTGGAAACTGCAACTATCGAACTATCTTTCTTGGAAGGTAAATTAAATTGTTAAGGGAGCGTGTAAGCTAAACTGTAATACCAAGTTAGGTAACAAAAAATAATAAGAGAATGTTAAAATAAAAAAAATGTAGATCATTTTTAAATTTTAGTCGTGAATGTTATTCATTCACGATTCATTCTTAGTCGTGAATGAATAATTCAACAATAGAATTCCAATTTATTCCGTAATCTGAAAATAGGTTATATTAAGATTCATATATCTATTTTTGATAATGTCAAATCCATTGACTGCAAATTAATCCCAAACTCTTTATAGTAGAGGTATAAAAATACATCCAAATGTGCTTATATCTGTTTCACTTACGTTAAAAATAACGTGATATACATTTATAAATGTATGATATTAAATTTTGTACAACCATATGAACAATATAGCATCGTAGTATGAGGATGTGAATAATTTTATTAGTCCGGTTTTATGTTAAAAGTACGGAAATTACGTTAATGGTTGTAAACTTGTTGTAAATCTTGTAGTAATATAATAAAAGTTCCTACGTATACGAGGAAATTGCAATGTAAATACATGGTATACAGTATAAGGTCTCTTATCTCTTATCTTGTCTTCTATACCTAGGCACTTCTAAGTGCAAATATTTTTCACTAGCATTCACCAATCAGCAGGCTTCAACAAATTGTATTTCTCTTTTGATTGCTGATGGAGATAGGATTTTTACGATATAAAAACAATAACTAAAAACATTGCTGAAGAACTCGAAGAATAACTCCATGGCGGATTATTAGTCATAAATTACAATTACAAATATACAACAGACAAAATTTTCGCTAGTTGATAATATGAGTATTATACAATTGGTTCCCAAACAAAGTATAGATTTCGTGTCCGGTGCAGTATTTATTTCGCAAGTAACCTTCATAGATTTAAGTGGACCTCGAGCGAAGAAGGTCCATAATTTTCGTATCAGATAGCAAATTATCTTGGGAGGTCTTTAAACATTATTTCTATGTTTGGCATTGCATTTACATATAGAGAGTTATAGTTTCATAATGATACGAGGCAAGGATAGAGCAAGCAGGCCTAGAAATAGATATCGTATCGGCCACTAATGAATGCCATATCTAAGAACAATTAATTGAATACAGAATAAATGCTCTGTTTCATTAAGGCTAGCTTGACTGGATAATTAGTAATTTGGAAACTCAGTCATCATCATCATCATAATGGAAAATTTATAGTCTCACCAAAAGAAATGTCAATTAAAGCTGTGGTTGAAAATAATATAGTAATAAACAACGATAAAGAAAGCTGCGGATATGGTAGTGGTAAATAAATAGCAAAACTTTATATCTTAAACACAGATAGTTGCATTAGATATTTATTAGATTAGAAAGGAAAGGTACCACCATAACATGCATTTCTATAGGCACATTATTTTTATTGGCCGTAATTACAGAGATATACATATTTTAAA